GCAACTCAAGGCATATTTGGCTTCACCGCCCCTCCACTCAAAGAGAATCCACAGATAGATGTTATATATCTATTTGGCTATTTCACCTAATGCAATAAGCTCCATTCTTGTCAGAATAAAAAACTCAGTCGAGATACCAGTATATTACGTTAGCAAGATTCTTTCTAATACAAAAAGTCGTTATCTGATGGCAGATAAGACTGCGCTAGCCTTGGTATTCTCAGCAAGGAGACTTTGTTTGTACTTCCAGACTCACACTATTGGCGTCTACACACAACTCCCTTTGAAGGCTATCCTACAAAAACCAGAAGCACCTGGAAGATTAGTTAAATCGCTGGTGGAATTGGGAGAATTTGACATCCACTATTTACCACGACCGAACATTAAATCACAGGTGTTAGCCGACTTTGTGGTAGAATGTACAGTGCCTACCTCTGATGAACCACCCTCTTCTCTTCCACGATCACCTCAGTGGACAGTATACGTAGACCGAGCATCCAGAAACTCATGAGCTGGTGCAGGAATACTACTCACCTCCTCAAAGAAAGATATTTTGGAGTATGGACTTCATTTGAAATTTAAAGCCACTAATAATGTTGTTGAATATGAAGCACTTGTCGTTGGATTAAAGCTTGTCATCAACTGTGAAGTACGAAACATGATTATTTACATACTCATTGCATCCCAAGTAGACCAAGTAGAAGGAGAATTCAATGCTCATAACTCACAACTAGTTCAGTGTCTTAGTCTGGTAAAAACACTTCTTGCTTAAATTGAAACATGTCAGCTCATTTACATACTTTGGGAACATAACACCCGAGCTGATCCCACTCTAAGCTTGCAACTTCAACAACTGGAGATCTCTATAAAAAAAGGTATATTGAGGAGATACATTTTACTAGCATCCACGACCCATGGGATATTGTCTATAAATGACTCAAGAAAGCCATCTTGGATGGATCCCATCATCTCCTTCCTCCGAGACGGAACATTGTAAGATGATGCTACTACATTAATTTGCATCTGACGCATGGCTTCTGACTTCATCCTTATAGGGGATGAACTGTATAAGAAGAAATTTGTAGGTCCATATTTCAAGTGTCTTCCTCCATTTAAAGTTGATTACACTCTACGCGAAGTTCATTCCAGAATATGTGGGGAGGATCTTGGTGGCATGGTACTTGCTCTTAAAATAATGAGGCTATGGCCCACGATCAAACAAAATGCATTAAGTTTTGTGCAAAAATGCAAGAATTGTCAACTACACTCTAATCTCACGCATGCACCGCCAGTAGAACTCACATCTTTTATGAGTCCTTGGCCTTTTACCCATTGGGGGGTAGATATCATGGGGTCAGTTTCGATAGCTACTGGACAACAAAAATTTATCATATTCGCTGTCGACTACTTCTCTAAATGGGTTGAAGCAGAGCCTCTTGTTAAAATCACTGAGGCCAATGCTAAATCGTTTGTCTGGAAAAACATCATCTATCGCTTTGGGCTTCCTGCAAAGATTATCACTGATAGTGAGACTCAATTCACTGGTAGGGTCTTCACATCATTCTGCAAGGATCTTCACATTCAGTTGGTGCACACTGTTGTGGCGCATCCCCATACGAATGGACAGACAGAGGTGACAAATTGAACCGTGCTCAAGGGGTTGATGACTCGTCTCGAGAAGGCTGGGGGCAGTGGGTAGAAGAGC